TGAAATTTATTTTGATAAAGTCTCACAGTGTTATACAGTAGTATTTACTGATGACTTTTCGAGCACAATTTATTGCTCAAAATCATATCAAGGTCGGAATATAAGAATTTAGCTAAGGTAATAATGACTGACCCTGAGAAGATAAGTAATTTAGAAAAAAAGTTCAACAATTGCACTTCATACATTGACACACAACCCACAACAGAGTGGGAGAGAGTTAAAATTCTAAAAAGTAATCTAGGCAGGTGGAGAGAGAGAGAGGTTGATTACTGAATCCTTGTTCATGCAGTCTACACCTAAGACATGCAATAGAAATGATTCATCATTCATACGGGAAATATGGAAAATGCTACTACCAATCAAATCAGGTGATCGAAAATAATGGAATTATATAAATGAAGTAAGAAAGTTGTGTGAGTAGTGACTTGATATGATTATAAGTGGCAATAAATTGTGCTAGAAACATCATTAGTAAATATTACTGTATAACCTTGTAAAACTTTATCAAAATAAATTTCACCCATAATGGAATTGAACTCCAAGAAACTTTGTACTGTAGCAAGTCACTAGAGAGCATTTGAATTATTTTCAAGGGTTGATTTGTAAGGATTTCATGTGTTTTTCGGTTAGACCACAAGTGTCAAGAAGTGACAGTATCACACATGTTAGTATGTTATTAAAATATATAAAAGCATAAGTGAACCAGGGTTTTGGGCTTAAAAGGTTGTACACTTGCAAAAATTGAATTAAAAAGTAACTGTCTGACTTAGTCTTGACTAGATATTGTGTATAGAATTATACATTAACATGTATTGTAATAGTAATTTAGTAATAATAATAATAATTCTTAGGATAGTTGAAATTCAGACGAGACTGTCAAACAAAGTGTCACAACTTAAAATGCAATTAGTTTTTACGTATTTCTCAAGTAAATTGGTAAAAGCAGCACTGATAAACAAATGCATCAGTTGTTAGTTTTCAGGAGGTGACTTCGTGGACCTATTGGCTATGACTTATCACTGGAATAAACGCACAGTTAATTATTTTTTGTATAAATGGGATTAACCAATTGAATTAGAATAATAATGAGTTAGGGTTACTACATAATCCTGCTTCGCTTTGATAAAAAGCAAACAGAAAAACCTGGATGACTCAATGATACATGGATTCAGTCAATGTGTCACTGGTGTATGAACATTCTGCTGGTCAGAATACTGGAACGTGTGCCACGAAAAGCATTTTCAACTGGCTGATGCAGACTTTCACCAACAACTATCCCCTTTTCTGGCTGCATACTGAAGACTAACCAGAAAAGAATTAGCAGTGGGGATTTCCGGCAGAAAAGTAATCAAGAACATGTTGCCCAATAAAAATTGCTGAAAAAAAACGGAACTGAATTGGATATAGGCGGAGGAAACTGATGGGTGATGTCACGCGACAGGCCACCTCTTTATTGGAATTGGAGTGGGAAACGACGAGTTGGGCGATGCTTTGAGGATCGTGTGAAATGGAGATGTGCTTCTGAATCCTTATGTTCCACTGGAACGCAAGGAAGTAATAGTAATGATGTGATAATATGTAATTTAATGTCCTACCTATCCTGCAGGAGTCTGAGGTTGGGTTTTCGGTATACATCGAAGTGATTATGTTTAAATAAGGTAACATGAATGGATTAACCATGGTCAGGATACCTTAAACCTTCAGGACATTCATTACATCCGAAATGTTTGAGCCCGATTATATATATATATATATATATATATATATATATATATATATATATATATATAAAGAGAGAGAGAGAGAGAGAGAGAGAGTAACAAGGTCAGATGTCTAGTCTCTTTTACAAACTGTCCTACTTTTAATGTTCCTAAATAATTACTTGTAATCATGCTAGATAACCCTTATGAATTCAGACTGGAGTAACATGTTTACCGAATCAACTATCAGCATTAATCCACAACCTTTGTATTTCCAAAGTTATGCTACACTTCATCATGAAACCAATTTAATTTCATACCTAGATACGCCTTAGTCTAATTGGTTCAATAAAGTAATGGAGAAGAATGCCGCAGGACTTTAGGAGATGCTTAGTCATCAGATCAACCTACGGTTAACAGGTTTATATATATTAAATTTATCAATCAGGGGAAAATAAGTCACACGATCAGAAGATCAAATATCAAGTCAACTAGACTAGCCGAAGGAAATCTTAGTGGAAAAAGGTATCACAGATAGTGTCACCAGAAAAGATGGATATTTCAATTAGAAAAAATTCTCCAATTCAAATTATCGAATTTGTGGAGATTTTTGATTCATTTCAATAGTTAGGTTTTCAAGTATTGGTTTTCAGGGGTTTTATTGATTGGTTGCAAGATTTCACCGTGAGCTGATACCAGTTAGAGAACCACTGGAAAACCTGGGATTACTATACAGCTATTTCATCCTAGTTTGGGACTCTTAATCAGTGCGCACCCACTGGGATTCGAAACCGAGACCATCTGGCTACAAGGCAAGTTCGCAGACCATTGAGCTACTTAGACCCGATCCACTTACCCATGAATTCCAACTTCTGCCAATTCACGACATATCGCGACCGCTAGCTAATGTCTTCGTCGAGATTTTCGTCAAAATACCAATATCAGTTAGAGAGTTGATTGGAAACCACCCGGAAGCAGTGTACAACTGTTAGTCCTAGGTTTTCGGACTATTCAACTGTTCACAGCCAAGACAGCACCCCTGAGGTTGTAATGATAAGTCGTGGCTATGTAAATTCACCACGTCAAGGTGAATTTAATGTTCATCGGAGGCATTAGTCGACGGTAGCTCTGTATATCGCCAGTCGATAAATTTTCAGAATGCACAAGTGACTGAATTCCAACCCAAATGGCTGAATGGTCATTGACGAGCTTGGTCTCGTAACCTGAAAATGTTTGGATTCGACACCTTAGTGGTTAGTCATAGATGTACGTTGATGAGGAGTCCCAAAAACGGGGCAGTACAATCATCCAGTGTTCCTGGCTGGTTTTAAACCATCCATCTAACTCAAGTTAGTTAGTTCATGACGAAAATCTAACAACTGAAAATTCTGGGAATTCACAAAACAGGGAAGTTAGTGTGATAAATTATGTATCGAGGAAGGCAATTAAGTCTTTAACAGTGTAACCTACGAGCTTAAAGAACCGAACGTAGTATACAGTGATGTATTGTGTTAGATGTTCTGGAGAATAATTCCATAGCTTTCTGACAAGATGCGTACAAAACAATTTGCGAATTTTAGTCAACGCTTGCTTAATTCCTTATCGTACCACGCGATACAGACATGTGAGGTTATCATTCATCTATTTACCTGAGATAAATAGCTCTGTCAATATGAAGCTTTTAATATCTGAAGCATCCAATTTTCCTTAAAAAAAAGTTATCAAGCTAAACCGATATTGTACATGAAGCATTCTTCAGCAGCGTCGAAATTTCACTGCAAGTTACATCTGATTAAATTATCTTTATAAACACATTATGTTGTGTAAACTTCAGGTTTCAGTTACACAGAGGACTATGTTGTAATCCATTTTTTAAAACTAGTGTACATGGTGGTATGGTGGCTGAGTGTTGGGTTACCATAGCTCATTGGTTAGTCTACCAGCTTGCTTTGTGACTGGAAGGTCCTACTTTCTAACGCCGCCGAGTATACGCTGCTGAAAAGTCCCTAACTAAGATGAGACAGATGTTTACTGGTGTAGGATTCAGTTAGAAAAACGTTAACGGTGGCCAAACCAAAAGACAGCATCATTCAATGAATTCATTTAACGCTTGGTTTCAGCCAGCTACGCAGGGAGATGTAGACCAACTGATCGGTTGGGTTCACAAAATTCCAAGAACCAATGACTGAAGATTGTGGATGATAGTGCGCAGATACATTCGTTCTTTGTAATCTTTCCGCTGCATTATATTCACATGTTTGTTCACTTTACTACTCTTTCTCCGTATATTCTGCTCATTAGATTTCTTTGAAGTCTTTTATTTAAAATGATATAAAAAACCTCTCAGAATTAAATTCGACTTTCTGAATAATTTAACAGGTAGAATTTTCTAGTTTTCCTAACCAGATGTCAAGTCCTGAATTCTACTGCTAGCCACAGTCAAAACAAGTAACTACCTGCAGATATTAATCCTGGTAATGTAAACGTATTCGTCCAAGAAGCCCTAGGATTTACATTGGTTTGAATCAAAGAACAAGAACTGCGATCAGTTAGAGAATCATTCAAAAAACAGAGAGTACTGAAGAACATTTTTTTTCCAATTTTGGAGCAATTTCAGCAGTAGCCATCAGAGGTAAAATCCAGGACCTTCAGTTTACGAGGCCATCACGTCAACTATCCAGCCTCATGAGAGACAGAGTCCAGCCAAGGTTATCAGCAGCTATTTGTCCTCACGCCCGACTTCACTAGAATTTCAGGAGTGAACACTGACTTGATTTTGAAGTATTGGAGGCTTGATCATTTTTAATTTAGGATACAAAATGAAATCAGTTAACGAATAACTGTATATGTCTAGTCTACTTTTAAACGTCTTACACTTCTGGTTTTAAACTAAAAAGCCTATATTTTATCAAGTATTGATTTTGTAGGGATTTTCTTTGATTAGGTGGAGGATATCATCATGAGCTGACATCAGTTAGAGAATCATTGGAAAACCAGGTGAGAGTAGTGGACGGCTGTTTCTTTCTAGTTTGGTCGACGAGCTCTCCTTGTAACCAGAAGATCCTGGGTTCAAACTCTGGCAGTGGGTGCGTACTGTGAAGAGTCCTAAACTAGGATGAAACACTTGTTCAGTACTCCTATGTTTTCAGATGGTTCTCTAGCTGATGTCAGCTCATGATGAAATTCTTCAACCAATAAAAAGCCCATACCTTGTTTAACATTATCAATGATACACTTCTAAGATAATAATAATAATTTTGTGAATAACAATTTGTTCTTTTTTCTCTTCTTTTGCTCTAGAAGGTAACCTTAATTTAGATAAAGATACAAAAAAGAAGCACACACGTCCAACATTTTCAGGACAACAAATATTTGCACTTGAGAAAACATTTGAACAAACAAAATACTTAGCTGGTCCTGAAAGAGCTCGTTTAGCCTACTTTCTAGGAATGTCAGAAAGTCAAGTAAAAGTAAGTATTTGTATCATATTCAATATGCTTTATTTTCTCTAAAGTTTCATCTGTTTTCTTTGGATTCTGAGCGAAACATAGAGACTTAACGCTATATCTTCATTTTTCCTCTTATCTGCAGTTATCTTAAACTGGTCCTGTGAATGCTTTTAAGGTTACCTCTCCTCCTCACACGATCTCCTCCATATCAGCACAGGATCCAAGCCTAACTCACCTTTCCCACTACTCAGTGGTGTGTCTGGCACGCGATTTTATTCAACAGTTTCCTCAGCTTGTATCCTGTCCACCTCTACTGTCTTCCAGCTATTTGATGATTGTTGATTGCTTCGTTTCCAGAGTTTCGCATTGCTAATCCTTCCTGGACATCTGATTTTTATTACGTAGCCAGTGAAGTTAGCTACTGATGAAAGTTTTCAGTAGCCTGTTAGAAATGCTCTCCGTCAATAACAGTGCAAGTTCTTGGCTCATATTAAACCACTGATTGACATAACATTGGTGTTGAAAATTCAAATTTCATTGTCTATGATAAACACAGTAGATTTTCACACTGATTTTAGAGTGGTGAAGGTGTACTTTGCCCTTCCGACTCTGTCTGTGAGATCTTCATCAGTTCCGCCTGTGGTTGAAACGAAGCTTCCTAGATAAGTGAAGAAATTAACACCTTATATATATTTATCCTGTTGATGTTGACTGGTTCTGGTTATTGTTGGTTGACCGTCAGCATAGCCTCTGTCTCGTCTGTGTCCACTTGAAGTCCTACCTTTGTTGTTTGTTTCTTCTACAAACTGGTTGGTTTTCTCCTGTAAATCTTCGAATTTAATTGACATTCGACATAAATCGTCAGCGAAGTTCAGGTCTTCTAGAGTCTGCTTGTCAATTCAACATATTCCTGTCTTCTGGTTCCTTACAGCCTGTTGCATAATACAGTCGACCATGATTTGGAATATCATCAGTGATAATAGGCGGCCTTGTATTATTTCTATCTTTACTTCAGTCAATACACTGAGTTTTCCGTTGTAGATCACTTGACATGAGTTATTGTTATATAGTTGTTGAATGAGGTTGTTAAAACTTGGGACATTTTGGTGTGTTGAAGTAGCTTCCAAATTACTTCCTGGTAACGTTGTTGAAGGACGTTTCAAAGTCAATGAAGTTGAGATATCCAGTGATGAAAGTGTAGTTTAAATTTGACCTTCTCATGATTTCCTTTCCCTACTAATGCAAAGTGAATTAGTCTTCACAATTAGCATCCACCTATTTAGGTATTCAGTCAGGTTTTTAATTTTAAGGTAAACAATTAGTTAGGCCTAAGGTAGTAAAGCTTTTGATGCGTTAAATTCACTGTTTCCTCATTGATAAACCGTATTACTCATTCGAACAACTGGCAGTGTAAAATTTAAACATGGCGAGTTAACCTCTCATTTTCTAAAATTCTAGGTAATGAAGCTTCAACACTTTAAACTGAATGAAACCTTTAAAGTTAAGTAAATTTTTGTTTCGATCCTTTGAACCGAAATGTTAAGCTTCTCCTAATAAGGACGCTTCAGTGATGTTATTTAGGTGATTGCAACTATCAGTGGCATCAGGATCTGAGCATTTTGTCCTGTCTGAGAGACACCTGTAGTCCCAGCGGTTGATGATATTCCCACTGAGACACGTTTTTTACTCCGAAGCATTGTTCACTAAACGACTAGCACCACAAGAGCCGCATGTTATGCAAAGGGAAGTATAACATAAATACACTTCTGCCTAAATTTATTAACACATCAAACGTTGAAATAAAAACAATGAATAATATAAAACATGAAAATTTATCATAATAGTTTTGAAGCAGATTACACTTTGTCATTTGAATATTTTATCTCTTTTAAATAAGTGGAAACCATTGGGAAATTTTCATCTCAAACCGTGTAGTTTACAAATATTGCCAATTTGGTTCTACGTATTACCGATTCACTCAACTAGCTAATCAGAATTCGTATTTATTGAAATGATCCAGCTCTCTGAGCTGAATAAAATAGAATACACCACTAAAGATCTCAATCTCAAACGAGTAGAACAAAAACGTCTGGTGTTTGGACCATTGGCGTAAATATTAATTTATTATTGTTGTTCCCCTTAGGCTCTGAGTGAGACATAGGACTTCAACAACACATTTGCACTTTTTCTATTTGGTGTTGTCCTCTTCATTTGGGTTCACAATTGCCCATAATCCATCATTATCCTCCTCGTATGATCTCCACTATGTCACCTTCGAAGAGCAAACTCATCGCTTCCTACTGGGGTTTCACTCGATCTACCGCTGAGTGGACAATATCCTTCAACGATCTCCTTAACAATTGCCCAATCCATCTCCATTTCCTCTACAAATTTGTTTAGTGATAGATTCTTAGTTGGTTTATTTCCCAGTTTCTTGTTGCCGATTCATTTTGACCATTCGATCTTCAAATATGGAGCGAAGGTAGCTGTTGATAAAAGTTACAAATGGTCAGTTGGAAATTCTTTTCGTGACACACTCAGCAAGTTTATGACCTATTTAGATGAATTGATTTCATATTTGTGTGATTATTGCTAGTTGTTGTTGTTGCTGTTAGTTTGGCTGGCAATCTCAGTCACCTCCTTCTTCTCGAGATTCACCTGCAGCCCTGTCGTAGCTTTCAGCCTTTCCTGCCAATTTGTTAGTTTTCTCTTGCAAGTCTTCGAGTATGTGTGACACGAGAAATAAATCATCTGTGAAATCCAGATGTTATAGCGTATTCTTATCGGTCCGGTGTATTTCTGTCTTCTCGTTCCTCATGTTCAGTGTGACGCATAATCTAGTCTTCTATAATTAGTTAATATCGTCAATGATGGTAGACAGCTCTACTTTACCCCTGTATTCATTTCAAACACCACAGGTTTTCCCGTTGTGGATCACCTGACATGTGACATTGTCGTATAACCAGCTGTTGAATATGGCTGATAAAGACTTGGGCATTGCGTGCTGCTGAAAGTCCTTTTAGAGTTGATGAACCTGAGATCCAGACTTCACTGTCATTTTGGGCTCTGTTCGAAGACGGTAATGTATAGCATAGATTGTCAGTTTGTTTAGCACATGATTTACCTTTTTTGAATCCATCTTGTTCCACGCAGAGTTCTGCATTCAATGTATCTTTCATTCCCTACAGGATAACTTGACTTAGTATTTTACTTGGCTTGGACAAGAACATTATTCCACTCCACTTCTTACACAGGCTTGAGTTGTAAATATCCCCCCATACTCATGTCAATCAATCAACAATGCATTCCATCTTGCTGAACACTTCCCTGTTAATCATAAATCTCATTTAACCTTATGAAGTGTTAGATTTCTATCTTTCACACAGAAGACTATTCAGTGGTTTCAAGTTTTCCTATTTTAAATAACAATAAAGACTAGCACTATGTATGTATTATAATCTCTCATTATCACCATAATTTAAATGAACAAACTAAGGAAAAATAATTTGACAAAACAAAACAAAAAGAAATCTCAAACTAAGTTGCAACTTTTCATTTTCACAAAAACTCTAAGTAAATTCCATGCTGTTAAGTTCAATTATGTTCAAATAGATATCACTAATAGCAAACAACGATAGATAGATAGATAATTAAGGTATCTATTTGCTGCTCTTCTTTTTTTATTATTATTACTATTACTACTACTACTACTACTACTAATGTATGCGAGTAAAATAAAGTAGATGTGAGAATGACATTCCGATATTACCTGTCAAAAAGAATAGTCTTACTGGGCCAAAAAAACGGAAATAAATATAACCCTGAAACCATAATTTCATAGTTTTGACGATTTAAGTAATATATATATATATATATATATATATATATATATATGCGCGTAATAATTGACAAAATAAGGCATATGACGTTCAGATATCACACAAACACGAGATGGAAAGCTATTAACTTGAAGTGAATGGGAGTAACTGTCCACCTATCTATCTATCGAATTGAAACAGCTTTTTAATTTTCTCTTTAAAAGTCTAGACGTATAGATATGTATATTAATAAGAATAATAGAAGTTAATGCCTTGATAGAAAGAAGGTTGTTGTTGTGTTGTTGTTGTTGTTCTAAGACCACCTTGTAACTAACTATGTTAACCTTTAACCAATTTCTAATTACGATATACATTAGTGTAATAATAGTACATTATTTCAATTTGTGGTCATTTTAGAGAGATTTTTCATATTGCTATTAATATTATTAGATACATTTCAAAGTGTCATATATGCTAATGGCCATTATTAGTAATTACATAGAAAACGGGTGCTTACAGATGAAGAGTCCCGAACGCCTTCTAGGATCAAACACCTATCCAGTATTCCTACTAGATGGTTGAAAGCGATCAGCAGGAGGCCTTGCTCAACCTAGATATCGTGCTAGTTAGCCCTCACTAGTCAGTAAGGCGTATCTACAACCATGAAAGAACTCATACCACTTCTGAGATTCGAACCCGTGTCACTCAGTGATGCAGTCAGAGATGTTACCACTGAGCTATTCGAGCTATTCCAGTATTCTCTACTGGTTTTCAATGGTTCACTAGCTGGTATCATCCTTCTGTGATTATACCTCAGAGAGCGCGATGAAGTTGCCTGAAACTTGGGTGAGAAGTTTTGTACAGTGGAGTCCATCAGTCGGGTGTAAGGATAATTACCGCAGATGATATTGGCCGGTGTTTGCGCTAAAATCACTAATCGATAGAAGATGAAATTCGTCAGCTGGCTATTTGATCGCTCCTAGTGTCTGAGTGGTCTGCGAGCATGTCTTATAACCGAAAGACCTCAGAGTCCTGAACTCTAGGATAAGACAGCTCTCCAATACTTCCAGCTAGTCTTCAATAGTTCTCTAGTTGACAATAATCTGTTATCCGACTTGAAAATATGTATTGCTCTAAGCATGAAAGTTTATCCCACTTACAGATACTTCACTCATTCATTAAATATGCGTGTATTTACTAACA